GTTTCCTTATGAAGCAGAAATCCTGTCTCACAGAGATGTACCGTGAGGAAGAACTGCATCTTCTTTTCCTAGGCAAGCACACTGCACCTTGACTCTTAGACGACAGCTCTGTCAGAAGTGGCACAGCAGTGGCAGGTGCAAAGGCACTCAGTCTGAGGGGAACTGAGCCCTTGTGCTCCCTTGGGGCCAGAAGATGCTCCAAGGGATGATGCTCAAGGCCCAGCACTGTCCCTGAGGTGGAGGAAGCCCCAGGTCTGCTGCTGTGCCACATGGTCGTGCACAGGTCACACTTTGCTGGTGGCTTTGACCAGGTCACACTTTGCTGGTGGCTTTGACCAGGTCACACTTTGCTGGTGGCTTTCTCGGTTGTGACAGGTTCATGTGTTCAGCCCACCTGGGCCTCTTGGTGCTGCTCTAATGCCAGCAGTGCACAGGGCTGGCTGTAATGCCTTCAGAGGGAATTCATCCTATTTATAGTCCGTGTAAAAACCTAAAGGAGCCCAGTGCTGCCATCCTTGCTCTGACATGTGTCTGCAGGCTGGTGATCAGCTGTAACCATGAGAATATCTGCACATCCTGCTGCAAAAGGGCACTTCCCTCTCTCTTTAAAGAGCTGTTAAAATCAGTGAGGAAATGTTAGCAATGAAGGATCCTCCTGCAAACACTGGGTGGTAAAAATTGGAAGTCAATCTCCTGTCTGGGAAGATTGATGTGCCTGTGGGTTCTCTATTCCACTTAATGATTATCCATTTTCTTACATGTTTCCACCTTATCTGACAGAGGACACAAAAACACAGCAAGATAACATGCAGAAACTGTAGTTAGTTTTTTCTTAGTTAAACCTGATTTTTCAACATAGGCAATCAAATCTCTCATTGAATGCTCTTGCCCAGTAATGCAGGTACATAATTTGAACCATACTGAACTCCTCTAACAGTGTGACATGATGCACCTGTAATCCAATAGGCTGAGCTGACTGCAGACTTCTTTCCCTCTCCCTCCCTCCCTCCCTCCTTTCCACTCCATCAGCTGTAGATCCCACCCTGCATCCTTTGTTATAACAGCCTGATTGAACTGACATCCTCACTAATGAGCATTTTGATCCACAGCTTTCAAGAGGAGAATCTGGAATTTCCTGGGAAATTGCCTCTTTATTGCAAAAGGCCAGGAAAGGAAGAGCTTTCTCTTAGAAATCATTCTCCACCTTACTACTGCTCCTTCCCCTGCTTCCTCCAAGCAGATTTGGTTCTCAAATCCAGCTGATTCCTACAAATAGATGGCCCTTGATTCTTTTAATTATTTTGAAATGATACTTTATGGACAATTCCTAAGGGAATGGGGGACCAGTGTAAAAAGTATCAGAGCCTACAACTTCAGTATCTTCCTCACCCCTCAAGTGGAATAAACTTCTGTCTCAGAATATTTTGACATCACAAACTTTCATTCCCCATGCCGAGGGACCAGCCACGCTGAATTGCAGACACAGGGTAGGCAAAACTACTGCAAATGTATTTTTGACTCAGGTTAGGAGGGGGAACTACAGCTCTCACAAAGCAACATGAGGAAGAGGAAAATCCCACTGTAGACTTCCCCTTCCTGCATGGTGCCTAATACAAAGGGAGGTTGCTAAAGCAACAGTTTCTCTGAGCTGACTAGACCTAGTCATGCACATGGGCTTCATGGTGAATCAGGATCAGCTTTCAGAAAGAGATGGAAAAGGCTCCTTCTTCTCCTGACGTAGCTTTGACTACTCAGCTTGCACCTCTGGGAGCAGAAGCTCTGAATTCACTCGGTCCTGATGTCTGACATATCCTGCAGCTATCTGCACCCCTGGGGAGAGCTCCACAGCTCCACTGGAACCACTCATGCAGATTGCCCTCTTAACAACTATAAAGGAATACGATATTTAGCATCAACCCACTGAGCCCCCACGGAAGTAAATTCAGGCTGAGGTCTTCAGCAGCTCAGATGTGCTACTCTCTGCAGGGTGCCTGGTCAGGAGCACTCAGCTGCACCTGCAGGTCCTGACGGGGTGGTAAGATACAGCCTCTGTCCTGCACTCCAGTAAAGAGGAGAGGAAAATGCTCTGCCCAAAGCCTGGCTGTGCAATCTCAGTGGGCTTGGAGCAGCAGGAAGAGCTGGTTGCTGTTGGAATGGCTGTTGGCTTTGGGTCCGAGGGCAGGAGCAGGGATGATAGGAAGGGACCACTCACAGCAAGGGAAAGCCCAGTAGTGGCCACTCGACCTTAGCAGCCAGGGGGAAACACAATGTACAGTGAGATGCCCACGGGACTGTTCCCAGCTGGCCTTTGTGGTTGTTCTTATCAGCGTATCAACCAGTTTACCTCAGAGTTCAAAGCTGTTGCCCTGCAGCAGAGGACAACAGCCTGCAAAAGGACACAGATCTCCTGGGTGAGACATGCAGGTAAAGGGTTGGATACCAGTGAGGAGAATTATTTGTATTTCACTATTTAGTTCAAGGTTTCTCTTATTCCCTGTGTTGATGCTGATGCAGATTCATTCCAGTTCAGAACCTGTCACGTAGGGGAAAAGGAAATAACAGTCTGGCTCCACTCTTTTGGCATCTAAACAACATCATTCCTGAGGAGCACTCTAGAGGCAAAGAAGCATGTAAATGCTTTCCCTCATGGCGACACAGCCACAACTTTCTGCTACTCCAGCAACCCCTTTGCTCCCTTTGACTGGTCACAGCTGCACGTACCTTTGGTGTAACATCATGGTTATGCAATGCTGACTCTCCCACTCTGCTCTTATCGTGCCTCTCTCCTACTTGTGCAAGCAGAAGCCAAGAAGGAGTCCAGCAATGGCCTCCAGCTCAGGCATTTCTCAACCTTCCTTTTCCAAGCCTGCACTGCTCCCACTGGCTCAGAGGTGAGCTGGGACCACCAAACATCCCTGAACTGCAGCCCAGGAGGGCACAGTTCTCTGGTCTCTGACCAGAACAAACCTGGGAAGGCATGAACACCCAGGCTGCCCAGCACACTCCTAAACCCAAGTGATACAGACCCTGCAGGGATGAGGACTTGTTCCCAAATACATCACTGCATCTCTGGGCCCCTCTCGTTTCTAGGTCACCATGACTTCCGCAATCATCCTGTTCACCAGCACTAAAGGAGCACAGATGTACTCTCAAGGGAGTGAGTGTGAACCAGAACCCTCATCTCTGGAACGCTTCCCAGGAAGAACCATCTCCTCACCATCACGTATCCCAAAGTACCTAAGGAGAAGGGAGAGCAGGAAATGAAGCAGAAGAGTGAGTTCCTAGAATTTTTGCCACTTTATCCCTTTAAAGTTCTCAAGCAGGATTTACAATAATCTTCAGAGAATAGTGTTGTGCCAACAGGCAGGCAGGAAACAACCACAGTGAGATACAGATCTGTGATGCTTTAATTAAAACACAGGTAAACTGTGAACAGCAGCAGAGCTCTGTGTTTCTTATGTCACTCAGTCACTGCTGTGTGCCCTGGAGGCTGCCAGGTGTCGCAGCCTGCTCTCCATGCCACTGCAGGGCACAGGGCACAATGGGACCTGGCTGTTGTGCAGAGCTGTGTCCTAGTGCTCATCCACGACTGAGGGATCCTGGTGCACAGCAGCAGTGAAAAGGTGCACCTGAACATGTGACTGAACTGCACCAGGGCAGGAAGTGTTTCATTCCATACTGCAGACTAAAATGTATTCAGAAGAGAAATGAGTCTCTAAAAGTATGGCCCAGGCAGATTCCCCCAGTGGGGAGGTAAAGACTCATCTTTCTGATCTACCACTTTTGGCAGGGAGTGCAGCCAGAATGTAGGACACAGGTGGCCATAAGCAGCATTAAACAGTGGGGGGTCTGGCAGCACAGTACTGTCCACACTGGACAGTGTGGGATCCTCCCTGTGACTCTGATAACAAAGCAACAGCAGGAAGTGGTGCAGTGCTGCTGGCCATGGCTGCCATCAGGAACAAAAACACAGAAAGCCCTTTAAAGATTGCAATGACAGAAATGAAACCCTTCCCTTCTTATGCAATGCTTGCCCTTCCTCAGCAGAGATTAAATCAATATGGGACCAAGCAAAGTCAATGGTTTATTTCAAGGGGTTTGAATTGGGCTTTGTAGGCAAAAAGGCATCAGCCTTGTTTCAAACTCCAGGAAGACACGTTGGTATTTCCATTCCACATCTATTTGTAGTACTGAAACGTGACTTTGTTCCTTTTTAGTCCTGTTTAGATGTTACATTACTTTAAAATAATCTCTGTCTGGAAAGACCAATCAAGTTTGGGGCTGGAATTCTCCCTGGAGAAGCTTAGGGATCCCCCTTGTCAGCGAATGAGGACCACCTTGAAGGAAGTTAAGGAGAACCTTGTGGTTGTAAGTCCCCATCCTTTCTTCTGGGGTCTGTCAGTAGCTGTGCTGTGCTGTAGTGTTGGGTGGTGAACCCAGCACACACAAATGTGCACACACAAACACAGGCACACACGTTCTAACAGAGCCACCAAACCCCAAAGACATGCACACATGTGCTAACAGAGCCACCAAACCCCACACACCGCCTCAGCAGCTTTACTGCACAGCCTGGAGAACATGAACAGCAGCAGAAAGGGAACTTTCCCATAATTTCTGGGGATATGCTGCAGTTGTAGGCCAACTTACATAACTGATTTAGCTGAACAGAATTGCTTTCTGCCTTTAATCTGCTCAACAGTTTATCTTTGCAGTCGTGATCGGTTGAGCTCTCTTTAAACCATTATGGATTAGGGTTCTGCTGAAACACGTTAAAAGCTTAGCTTTGTTTATTTTTGTCAAGAATGGGGGAGGGATATCAGGTTAAATGTTCAAGCAGTAGTTTATGAATGGCTGTTTCTCTTGCACAGCAATCGATATGCTCAGGTACCAAATACAAGGCACAGCTAAATGCTTTGAGTGGCAGCACTAGTTGCTGGAATAGGAATATTTGTGAATGTACTATAAAAATAATTTAAGAAAAAAAGGAGGAAACTTAATAAATTTGCATTATTATTTTAATCTATAAATACAAAATGTAATCCAGCATTCAAACAGTTCATCACACCCCCCAGCTCTGTATGGAAGACCAGAGAGTAAATGATCTGAAAACTTAATTAATAAGGCTGGTTGAGGATTTTACTAAGTGTGCATTATTGATGTAATTTGGAGACAGAAATCCAGCCAAAAGCAATCTTTCTGTCGTTCAGCTGCAGAAACACAATACACCATAATGGAAATAAACCACCAAACAACTGGAACCTCATCCACACCACTTACAAAGAGGTGTTCAGATAATATTAGCCAGCTGTTCAGTTAATTTTCACAGTGGATTCATTAACTATGCAAGTAGTTGTTCTATTTGAACATGACGGTATGGATCCATGTTCAAATTTCTACTACAAATTGATGAGCACAAGATACCAATTTAAATTAAATCCAACAATTACCACACTTCTTTGACCTCTGTGTAGTCAAAATGATTTGCAGATACCAGCCTGGAATGGAGTAAGAGGTTGTGTTCCTGAGTGTTGCCAATAATCCTCTGGAACACTATTCCACGGAAACACTGATTCTGTGAACAGTTGTGCTGGCAACCCTATAATCTTGGAACTTTCTTATCTAAAATGGAGGAAGTAGGCACTTGCACATTCTTCAGAGCAACACAGACACTAGAGAAGTTAAAAAAAATAGTGTCCAGTGGTGCTAGGAAAAAAATAAAAACATAAACCTGGGAAAGTAATTCAGGAAAAAAGGAGGAAAAAATCCAACTTATTTGTAATTTGTCTGTTTGTTTTGCTTTCTTGTGAGAGATCTTAATTCTGCACATTCCAGTGAATGGCCATTTGCTATTAATTTATCTTCTTTCTGACAGCAAGTGGAGCACCATTCCAGAGTTTCAACATTCCCTTGATGCTGCTCTGCTTAATGCTGGTGTGCTATTTAAACAAAGCATATTCCAACTGAATCTGACTATATATGGAATTCCCTGACAAGTAAAACTTTGGATGCCATACAAAAAAGAGCCATGAAAACAGAATACTCCTCTCCAGACTGCACAAACTGGGCATGTACTACACCAGGCTCTTGGTGGCAAAGGTCAGGTACCCGGTGTGCCCAACCACCTCCCTCAGTGGCACGCCACTCTTGAACTGCACAGTCCCTTGCTGCAGATTAGCACACGGGCTCTCTTGATGTGATGGGTTGCTGCTGTCAAAGCCAGTGCTAGAATTATCCTCAGCTGCTTTTCCAAGGTCAGGGATTTGCAAGCTAACTGTCCTTACGTTGTAAACTCGGAGCAGAATTTCCAAGGTGTTAATCTCTGTAAAACCATATTCTTCCATCGCTAGGCAGGTTCTTTGAACTTGTTCAATGCAGGGGGAGAAAGAGCAGATGCGGCCACCTGCAAAATAAGACAGGTAGTGGAAAAGAGGGCAAAAGCCAAAATGAAGCACTTTTAATCTTTTTTCAAATTCTCCCAGATGCCCATAGAATTACAGTTATACGAAGTGAAAACAATCTTCACATGGCAAGTTTGTTGGTTTAAAGTGTCAGCACAACATCAAACACGGACAACTCCACAGGATGCTTCAGACCCTTTAAAAATGACAACAGCAGCTTCATTCATCTCCCACATCCAATGTTGCCCTCGACATTTGTTCACAGCAAAACTGTTAAAGTTGATCCCTTCAGAGCAGCGACTCTTTTGGGATCACTCTCCACTGTTCTGGACTGAGGCAGCAAACTGCAGCTGGCACGTACACAAAGGCAGAAGTCATTCTGCACACACTGCACAGCGCTGGAGCCCCAGCGCACACGCCCCTGACAAAAGCGGCTGTGTTTAGCTGAGGACGATGGTATGTGTGGACAGAATAAAGGGAGCTCTCCAGGCCATAGATGGAGTGCTGTTAAGGCTTTACCCTTTTAGTCAAGCTCACTAGCATGTCTCCTGAGCATTGGAGTTTACTGGATATCACATTGTGCAGGCTTACAGTGAATGTTGTAAAACTCTAGGACAGGACTTTTAAGTTATAAACTAACACTTGTCTCCTTGTCTATGCACAGTTCTGACTTTTTGATTCTTAATACGGACTATTAATAGGCCCCCTACACCTTGCTAAGTGCTACAATGTCACCTTAACAGCTGAGAATAGAATGATTCAGATTTACTCTGCAAAGCCACAGCCAAATCAGATCAAAGAATTACAAGGACACTGTCTGCCATAAGGCCAGGGCATGTGCTTTCACCCAGGACACAGTGTCCCCCAAGGCAACTGCCCTTCCTGAAAAGCTTTTGTGCAGGAGAAAGGAACACTGGGCAATGCAGCTTCAGCTATTGTTTCATTTGTAACAATTAGATGAAAATGCCTGCTGACCTGATTTGCATTCCTTCCCAGTCCTCTCCTGGGCTCCAGTCAAACCTTCCAATACCAGTCATCTAAGTAGTTAAAGAACCCATGCAAGCCAGAGCAAAGCATCCTGCTAAAAATAGAGGCAATGCTGGGACTACATGAAGCCTGCTTTATCTCAAACTCCCTTTTTTTTTTCTTTTTCATTTCTAAAGTCAGATCTCTAAAAAAAGAAAGCATCAGGTCTGAAAGCATCACTGTAGCACTCTAGTTACTGTGCAGCAATGATGTGCTGGGTACTGCCTGGGGAAGAACACTTTCCACAACCATTAATCCACCATACGCTAAGTAGGATTTAATTTTAGTCTTCAAATAAAGTCTCCACACCAAGGGGTTCTTATCATGAATCTTCAGAACAAAGTATCCTGGACAAGTAATTCCCTAGAGTGACAATTAAAACCCAAAGCTAATAATCACCTGCAAAACTAATGCTGGTATGTGTCTTTATGAACCAAGTCTGTTGATGTTGATTTTATTGCAAGCCCAATCCATTAACTCCCATGAAATTAGATTTGTATGTTCATTAGGATGGCCAGCACTACCAAAATGTTCCTGAATCTGACAGCTAATCTTTTCTGTCCAAAGAACTTACACACTCTACCATGGTTGCAGATGTAAAACAAAAAAGCTCAGGAAAAAAAAAATTCTGTTACATAGTAAGAAAGTTACTATGATGCACACATGTTACAATGAAAGAATTTATATTCTTACTGTGCAGGGAACTGAACAAATGTCTGACTTAACTAAATGTCAGTTCACAATAACTCTTTGTCTGCAAAGCAAGAATCTGAGAGACCAGACTACTACTTCATTCAGGCTTTTTGGTTTTGAAGTTTTATATTGCAATAAAAAAAGCAAAATATATTTACATTTACAGTAAGTCTGTTTTTATTTATTCTGACTCGAAGGGTTTGAAGATACATTTAGGCTTTTGAATTCACACGCTGTGGATTTACAGTCAAAAACGCAAAGCCTGCACACAGCTGTTGCCACACAAGCTGCAAAGCCACCTACGGTTCTTGTCAAGCCTTCAATTAAAGGCAGAGCACCCTTCCTCTTGCCCGGGGCTGGTCAGCTGAGCACAGCACATCAACACCAAACTTGGTGAAGATTTATCAGGCTGCCTCCTCACAACTGCTGGGGGAAGTAGGGTTACAGAAAACAGACTTTCAAGCCGTTTGGTAAGGAAGAAAGCTCTTGCTTGCAGTAGCAAATATGCAGAAGGCAAGCACAAGAAATAATGTTACTTCCTGCACTGCTGGAAGTTTCTCAGGTGTGAAAGATGAGAAAACAGTGAACTGCTGGTATTCCATCTACCTGGATTTTAATATTCTGTCAATTTTATTTTCCCCTTTCATGCCTATAGTTCTCATTATTTTTATACATCCCTCCCAAATAAATATACCTACAAAGGGCTTAGAAGAACTCATCAAGCATCTGTCCTTACAGATCCCAACAAGTGGGAGAGGAGTCCCCTCTGCTTTTTCCCCCGTACCGTCAGGCAGGCCAGATCTGACTTGCAGTTACAGGCTGGAATTACATGATTAAGCAGATATTAGGAGCAAGGATTGGAAAGCTACAATTAGCAGACGGCTGGAAGGCAAAAACGAAATTGCAGTTCCAGACTGAGAGAGGCTGTCTAAAATAGAAATATTTGGGAAGTTTCAATTCCTATGCTGTGTTTAGACCAGCAAAAAAGACGTAGAAAACCAGCACTCAGAAGGACATGCTCATCTGTCCCAGGAGCAGAGACACTGACATCTTTAACAGAGCAGATGCTTCTGAATCCTGCACACTGTGGGCTGCCCTCTGTACCCGGCTGGACTACCAGCTAAGCAACACCCCTTGTCACAATCACCAAACAAATATAAATCTAGATTTCAGCATTCACAGTTTTCAGACTCTTTGAGAGCCCTCTTGTCCTTTAGAAACCAAGAGGCTTCAAGGGCTTAAAGGACTCGAATATTCATTGCTTTGTCTTGCCATGCCAAGTGAATGAAGAAAAGACACGAACTCCCTCCCTGGGGCACATTGCTCTGTCTGGATCACAAAGAGATGGACTAGACTAGAGAGCAGTGAAAACATCTGAATGGAAACGTTTTTGTACACAAATTGGGTTTGTGTCCTTTCAGAGCTCTCCTTTTAGGAAAGCTACCGCTCCTAAATTTGGTTAATGAGATCTGTGTGTCATCATAAATTGATATAGTAATTAAGAGAGATTAATCCTGTTCACATTGGGAAGCTGTGTGAGCTTTTTGATCTCAGGAGCTGTCTAAAAATGTGTTTATTCATGTATAATGCATCTGACAAGTGCTACAGTTGAGGAGAAGAGAATAATGAGACTGTATGAAAGACTCAAGTTTTTTTCTACCTTCAGTTTTACAGGGAGTGACTTAGTTTGAAGCATTAATGGAGAGGTTAAATGTCCTGAATCCATAGCCTGGAACAAGCCCACACAGTCCTGGCAGTGATTGTAACCAGCAACAGGGTTGAGAGGACATGAAAATAGAAGTACAATTCAGACTGGAATGATTAGAAAAGTGAGCTTCAGGGAAGAGGGAAGTAGAAGATTTTCATCCACACAGTACTGTACATTTCAACAGACTGTTTCTAATTGTTAATTGAGGGACCCACCATTGCATCTCTACAAGAACCAGTGCCTCAAAAGTTGACAGAATGTTCCTGTGCAACTCTAACAAACAATTTTGTTTGTGGTTTGTCTGAGCAAGGACTAACATCTCTACCAGTTCTGTTTAGCTATTAAGTGCTATTAGGTTTCAATTGTGGAAAATCTTAGTGCTATCAACTGACAAGAACTCCACTTGTGCTCATGATACAGAAAACATGTCCAAGAAATGTGCTCTTATTTTTGTAGGTTATTGTATGAGTGCTGTGACAGATTCTTTCATCATTCCAGGATTATTCAGATGCACATGTAGTGCAGCACCATTAAGTTTTAGGGAAAAGGGCCAATGATTTTAGAATGATTCTGTGACATAAAGAATACAGCACAACATTTTTACCTCTGGCAAAAGAACACAGCTTGGGTTTTGGGACTTCAATGCATTGTCATAACTGGAAGATTATGTTACAAAGATCTCAAGGAAGAAGAAAAAACCACACAGGCATTATCATTGTGTAGGGGTGAGGCAGGAGAGTCACTGAACAGCATCACTGTGGCATTTACTCTGTGCTAGTAGGACACTAAAAATATTGTCTCTGCAAAAGGGGACAGAATGTCCTTTAAGTGCGTGTGCTCGTGGGCGATTTGATGTAGCTTCCCTGACAAGTGAAATTAGAGGATTTGGCTGTTGGAAGAAATGAAAGGATGTTTCTTGATTCAGAAAAGAGAATTTTCTCCAAATCACTTGCCAGCTCATTAATAGGAGCTTGATGTGATTTTCTGCAAATGTGACCTTAACCTCTGCATTTGTAGGTGCATCATTCAAAAGGAATTTATTCCTGCTCATTATTATGGGCTGGTAAAAGCAAGTAACAAGGAAATTAAAGAATCAGTTGGCTCCCTACTGGGGAAGAAAACCTAACAACTTTCTTTAGGGATCCTTTCATCCCAAACTACTTCCTTCAAACTGTGTAAAAGCCAGTAGCTTTGGCTGGGCTTCCACAGTGAGGATTTTGATACAGGAATCCTTCTGCTTGACTCTCTACACATGAAAGTATCACCTGTACTTCAGGAAGGCCCACCGTGTGCACCTGACCTACCAAGCCCTGACAGACCCAAACTAGGGATGAATTAGTAGTCCAAGTACTTCATATGGTGAGGAACAGAAGCTGTACCTCAAAGCCACACCTGGGTGGTTTAAAACTGGGATCATTAATAAACTCTGGAGTTCAAGAAAAATAGCCAGTGATGTTTCCTACATGGACATGGAAGTGTAGAGGACGAAGAGGGAGATGTTCAAAGCGAACTTTACCTGCAGAGTTTTGGGGGAAGAATTGACAGCACGATGTTACCTGATTCAGTTGTTTCCAAGGATCACAATTTGATAAACTCATAATTTAGGGGTTTTACAATGCTCCAGAGGGAATGGAAAATCTGAATTTATGAGTAAAATCTTTAAAGAAAGAAAGGAAATAAAAGAGAGGTGGTTTTAATAATTTTGTGACTCAGACTGTTAAACACCACAAGGAGCAACTTAAAATACAAGAGACTAATCCACCCTAATACATGGCTGTAATTTTCCATCCCCCTACCTGAAAATTTAAAATCTGTATGAAAATTATTGTACCAGTGGGTTTCTCCCTCATCTTCCACAGCTTTGGAAGAAATAGACAGTATTTATGAGAGTAGAGTAGGTGGGTGCAGAATTATATTCAAAGCACTACAGTATTCAGCTGTGAAATGACTGTGAGTCAAAAGTTTCAGGGCATTTAAGAACTGTAGAATACTGAGGATATTTTTGTTACCTCACAATTTTATCATTTTCCTAATTTTTAAAAGTTTAGCCTGAAGGGGTTAATGTCAACTTTGCAAAAACCACCAAGGTCAGATATTGGGAACAGCAGCTATGACAGCAGAAAAGCATTAACTAGCAGATGCTGCAGAAGAAAAACAGTGCAGGTCTGGAAATGAAAGGAAGTTCTGCAGTGCAGCAGTGCCTCAGAGATGCTACAAGCAGCTTTTCTGCTGGAAGTGTGACTGGTGACATCAGCACAAAAGGATGCAGCTGAGATGCAAACCTGAACGTCGGCAGAGAGCATCACCACAAAACCTTCTAGTCACAAACATACTGTGTCATTTTGTTCGTTCAGCTCTTCAGAGGCTGGCAGTGCTTTAAATGGGAGGTCAAGCTGCTCTAAGTAGTGTATTTACAGCATCCTGTAAGGCATAACGTGAATGATAATTGCACTCTGTAAAGAGGATCATTAACACTCAGCCTGGTAGAAGAGGCAACTATTCAGGACCTTGAGCTGAAGTGGAAGTGAAAACACTGATCTGATGTTTTGACCTGAGGTTTTGTTAAGGTTGAGAATTCTCCCATATTGTCTCAGCTGAACTCTCTATTGTGAGTATTGAGATTTTTAAGGATGAGAGTAGCTAATGCTATATATTGAATTTGCTTACTTCTCATTTAATTCAAAATACATTAAGACTTTAGGGACTAAATTACCACTATCTGGCAGTATAGCTGTGATATTTGCATGGCACATCACAACAAAACCCACAGTGTGAATGGCTCAAATGTGACCCTGTCCAGATCTGAGAGAGAGGGTGTGGACAGAAAAGAGTGGAACTCATTTCCTGCAGTGAATGCTTTATCACTACACAAACCCTGAACGGGGTTCAATAACAGCAGAATGTGCACAGGCTGTACTGCAGAAGAGGTTTAGCTCTTCGAAAACAAAACAAAGAAGCACTGCTAAATTATCTGCCTGTGGTAGGGAAAGGGAAGCAGTCACAGATAACCTTCTGCCATATTTTAGATTTAACAGCAGTAAAAAAACCACAACAAAACTACCCGCATGACTCAGGATAAAACAGGAAAGTGTGTAAGTTTTTACATATTACTACTACAAAAAATTATATTTTATACGAAAACCGGTTTTTGTTTATATGCAAAATAGCAAAATTTTAAAAATGCACCCTGTTGGTCAGGTACAAAGTCGCCCAAAAGAGGAGCCTTAGACCAGTACCAGATCTCAGACATGGGAGACTGGTAGCAGCAAAAACTGCAGCAAGGATCAGCAACTTCCTCTTTTGAGTGGTTCATAAAGCGAATGACGCCACTTCACAAACATAAAAATGTGGGATTGTGAAGTATTATTTATATTGCCTAAGCAGATGTAACCTTGTAGCATAGCACAGGAAAGCATAGCCAGATGGTATGGCCGGTTTGGGACTGTATTACATTTTCTAGGATTTCAAATGCTGGAGTGAGACAAGGATTCAAAACTTGGAACTGTTCAAGCAGCCCTGCTTAGTATTCTAAGCATGCACCACTTAAATAATTCAAATTGGACTGCGCAATGCAGCGCCTTCTAAGCTGGGAAGTCAGCTGAGTGGTGTGCTCACTAGATTAGATAATTTGAGCATGGGAAGGGCATTGTACAGTGCAGTGATTTTCTTCCCCCCCAGGACACACTGGAAAGCTGCTACAAATTGAGCTGTAACCATTGCAGGTACAGAGTGCTAACAAGGCTCACTCTATTTTTTAGACACATTTTTTAAAGAAAGTGTGTTACATGGGTATCACAAAGCTTTCTAGAAAATTTTCAGTAGGAGTTGAGGTAGCCTAACAGCGGGGCTGGTCCTGACTCAGCAAGGCACTGCACATTCAGTGACCTTTAAGAACAAGCTTCAATCTTGTGATTTCAAAAAGACTTAGCAATTCACTTGAAGTCCAGCCTGTGATTACATATTTTAACAAAGAACTGGGCCTTGGCACATAATCAAGGTTTTTTTAAACACATGTCCCAGCATGGACACTGTTCAGCACTCCTTGCTCTCTTTATTAGAGAAGTTACTTTTGTAGATGGAAGCAATTTAGCAAAAGGTAATTCAGATCCACACAATTATGAAATTAATTAAAACTTATTCCAGGATAAAAGAATTATTTATTCACTGAAGCTTATTTTTCGATAGGGAATAGAGGTATAATAAAGTGATAAAATCTGTGCAAAATCTCAACATCAGTTCTCACTTGCCCAGAGTAAGTGGCATAAGCTAGAACATCCTTTATGTTCCATTCCCACTGCATCCAGTGGCAAACTTCTCACTACCTCCAACCACAAAGATTTAGCACATAAACTGGCAAGCATATTTCAGTGTAACCACATCTTTTTTAACATTACCGTTGGGGTGTTCTGTTAAATGGGTACAAATCTGCAATGATTGATGTGAACTGAGGCTGAACACCTTTTATACAAACACTTTTCCACTGAATTGCCAAAGAAATTAGCTTTCAGCATTTATTGTTACTTCTGCTTCCCACACACCTCAGATCTTGCAAAATGCACTTGAGAATGGTTCAAAGGAGTTTTCATAAACTGCCCATGCTAATTGTAGCAGCTCTCACGGGCCTGCAGGAAAATGTTCTGATCCTTTCAAATCTTCCACTGTAAATTGAAGACGCCTTTTGATGGTTTTATAGCCTTAGAAATGCCTGGAGACTGACATTTGAGAAAAGCGATCACACAAGGGAAGGGAGCACATCATGTGTATGGCTCAAAGGCAGAGATATGTACACAGTGCTTTCTGAAAAGAGAGAAAAATGCAGTTACCTTCAGCTTTTAATGCTGACTTGGCATGTCCTATGGCTTCCCATGGAGATGGAATATCTAGGAACACAGCATCTGCAATGTTTGAGACCCCAAAGCCATTTTTGCAGACATCCTGGTTGGTCACAGTGACCAGGTGCTCCACCCCGTGCTCCCGAAACTCCTCCCGCGCCTTCTCAGCCCTTTGCTGGTGGAACTCCACTGTGTACAGGTGCCCGGTGGGAGCCACTGTCCGGATGAGAGCATGGGAGAGGGACCCACTGCCGGTACCTAGGAAAGACAAACAAGCCATGAAATTGAGTTTGTCAGAGCCAAATATCAGAACCAAAGCCTTCTGCATTCCTCTTCCTGCTTGGAACACTTGTTTGAAACTCAAATGAACACAAACCACTGGCTCAGCTCCTGAAAGAGAACAGTCCTTCCTTCACAAGGAGGGAGGGACTAGGTGTCCTAGGAAACAGGTTTCCGGGTCCCCAAAGCATTCATTTAAAAATCTGGCAAACCCAGAATCTGTCCTATGTCCCTGGAGTAGGAAACTAATGCCAAGGGTCAGCTATAGCTCTAACAACTGCCACTAGAGAATCCAAGGAAGTAAATGTAACAGGAAAAATTCAGGGAAATTAACTGGAGAGGTTTTTTTTCAAAGTGTCAGACTCTTCTAGGGTGAAAAGAGATTAAGACAAATTTTTAACAGATTTTCAAAACCTCATACTCACTAAACAAAGAAAAGATGTTGGCATGGGTCCGTGCTTGAAAATCCTATTAATATCCATTAAAACAAATGGCCTTCAGGATACAGTTTGCTTTGCACAGATTGCTTAAGAGATATCCTCAGCTCCCACTGGAATTACCTAAAACTAAGGCCCCTTGGCTCCTTGCAGCCACACTGATCAAACATCTGTTTTCACAGGTCACTTACACACATACATGCCTACACAAGCTTAACTTAGTGTAACAAAATCTATCACAAAATTGTAGGTAACTACAATTACCACATACAAACAGGGACTGACAAGACAAAGATTTTTTTTCTTGTTTTAGTTTGATAATTTAGGAAACTTACTTTAAATGATCCATTGGCATATTAAATAGATGGATGACTAATAACAAAGATTTTCACTTAAGAAAACACCCATATACCAATTTCCATTGCAAATTAGTCATTCAAGTGGCATTTAATGGAGTAGTCCCCCAAATTCAAAACACCACAGCAACCCCAAATTCTCTGTATTTATTGATTATTAATTCTGTGCTTATAACACATTTCTCCTGTAGAAATAAATCTATTTCTAATTATTTTCAATGACTGTTCAGCCTGAGGCAAGTTCTTTCAGCTAATATAAATCTTAAAAAACATAAAAAGGACAGAATCTGAAGTACAGCAGCTCAGAAACAAGTAGAAAGGAAATTAATTAGGGGGCACAGGGGCTGGTACAGCCGCTTAATTGGTGCAGTACTTTCCATAATCATCCAGGAAGTTTGAGTTCACTGGCAGATGCCAGGTTCTTGCCCTCTAGTCACATAAGGGGAGGAACACTGCTGTGGCACTGTATTTAATCCGACAGCTCTGAAAGGGGAGACATTCAGACTGTAAACAGAGCTCAGGGCCTGTGTTTGCCACCGGATCAAGCGGCTGCACCGGGGGATCGGCACTGCTCCCCTGCTTCCCCCTGAGAGGGCTCTGACCCCAGCGGGCAGACTGGCACCCCACCGCAGCTTCAGCGGGGCAGGTTAGAGAGGGGACCTACAGATCTTAGCACTGGCTTCAGAGAGGTCCAAGGGAAGAGAGAAACATTTACACACATGCATTTAATAAAGTGAACATACAGGCATTCAAGGTACTGTTAAATAAAAAAAAGGAAAAGCAAAACACACCTACGTGTGCATACATCAAAAACCACCCTGTCACAGCAGCTGAAGGATCTCAATGTCAAAGTGAGCTTTTCCCTGGTCAAAGGAGTAAGGGTAGCACAGCAGCCATGTGTGTGAAAACTCAATGATATATGTGCATAACAAAGAGATAGTATTGATATGTTTTTAATGACAAAAGCAGGGAACTATTGCTCCCAGGATGCTAAAGACTGAAATTCTGCCTTTACATTTCATGCCAAAAGGGAGGATTACGCAACTGAGAACTATTGTAAAATGAGGAAATTTAATTACTCTACCTCTCAAATGTGTAGTGCTGCACGCTTTCTGCATCTCTCTCTGCTAATCTAAAGGATTAGCCTGCGCTGTAAGCAGAAGAGCAAGGCAGCTTGTGCATGTATCCAGTTTCCTTGTTCATATTCTTTTACATTTTTAATCACTTTCCTTTTAAATCTGCTTTTAAAAACATCACAGAAGATACCATTTGTCTCCTCCATAGGAAAACCCATTAAGATTTTTTGGCTTCTTTTCTAAAACTCTTCTTTTATTCAGAAACACTCCAAGCTAAACCCGGAACTAAAACCAAGATGTTGGAATTCACCACTTGAAGGTGTATTACAGACAGAGCTTTTGTTAAACAAGGTTGCCAGGAATTATTTATTGTTGACTGGCTACCACAAACATGAGAACAATACATATGTACCACATTTTAACACATCAAATTCTGTCACATTAATATTATTAATGAGAGTATTTCTGAAGATGCTGCCTGCCTTCTCCGTGACAACACTCTCAAAACTGCAGGAAACAAGGAACCAGAGGGTTATGAATCACCCATTGTTGTAAAATCTCTCCTAGAAAATATATTCTGAACCCAGACATGTGACATGAGGATGACCCTTAACTCTCATGTGCCCAATAGATCAGCACATTTGATGTGGTCCATTAATATGAGTCTGGCATGAGCCCAAACCTGCCACAAGCCCTAAAGCCCAATCAGCACAGTCTGCACAAGACAGGGGTTCAATGCTCTGTTTTTGTGACGTTGTAGAAGGGGAAATTAATGTTTATATTCACCTTCTTTCCTGCAAATCTGAAACATTCAACATTTTTGTCCTCCTGCAACCATCTCAATTTCTCTTTGTCCTTATTTCAATATCACTACTGATAAAAAGCAAAATATGACTCTAAGAGTCTTAGGCATCAGTTTGGAGTAAATTCTAGTCAGGTACAGGTTTCCTTGGGAAATGAAAGGTATCCTTAGCTTGATACAGAATCAGTCAGGACAGCAGCAAAACCCAAGAAGTACTAATGGAGACATACTAGAATGCTACCAAACCAGAAATAGCATACCTGAATTACCTGTATAGAAATGAACCAAAACCTGCATACTCAAAAATTAATATTTTATATCAGAAGAGGCAAGATCAGAACTGGAAGAACTTCAGTGGGTGTTCTTTTTCATAGAGGTGCAGTGAAATGTCTGTGTTCCTGATATGACCTAGAAAGCAGAAGGTAAGACAACTAGAACAACTAATTTCTAATTTTTACAGCAGGATGCTCTCTTTCTGACAGCCTGCACAATAAATAGCCTTAGAAACTGTTTGCTCTCTACCACAGGACAATTCCCACTTGATTACCATGTTTTAATCATGAATGGACTCTACAGAAGAGAAGTAAAACAATAACAATTCAAACTGTACCAAAGACAACCTTAACAGCACAGCTGCTGTTTCAGAGCTCACTTAGGTGAGCACTTATGTCATTGCTAATTTTCACTTGGAAAATGTGATGCTCTTTTACATTGACTGTTCTGTGATCTCAAACATCTTAGTCAAAAAGCAGACATCTGCATTGCAGGCATTTAATGAGATACCGCAGGGGCCTCAATCTGCCACACTCAAAGCTCAACATCTGAGGAGGCAGCACTGTGCAGGGGATCAGCACAGTGTAACCCAGGAATGGGCTCCACTTCAGTCCAAAGGCCATGTTAAAATAAATTCTCACCTTCTCAAAAGTTGCAGTGGACAGTATCTGAGCTGTTCCAAAATAAAGCATGTTATTTCAGCATGGAATACTGCCAAGACTGAGTGTCACCAGGGCATTGAGCACAGTGCTTAACTGATATAGGATACAAAGTACATTTTACACTGCTTTCTGTTGTTAGTCTGGCTTCCTTATTGCAAATGATATTTGTCTAATCTCCTGGAATCCTACCCATACCATAAATATAAGTGACCTGATTCTGTGTTCCACTGCATTTTCTCTTTGCAGACTATTGCTTGGCTTGTCTTCCCTAGAAGTTTTTCATCATGGTGCTTCTTTTTAAAATAGGAGCTACAATTTGTCATTTAGGATTTATAGATATGTACAGCTGTGTGTAAGCAAAAGCATTTTGGAATAAAGCTGAATAAACTCTTGAGTGCATAAAAAGGTTCATATTGCTTGGAAATAGGAATAAAAGAAAGTATGCAAAGTGTTATTTACTACTGGGTCTCTAAAATACCTAGTAACATTTTAGGAGAACTTAAGCTTCTGATGCAAAATTTGGCTACAGAAGATACTCTGAAATGCGTAAATACAAGAAAACAATGACAGTGTTGCTCTGTTTGTCTCCTAGCTACACCACTTAGTCCTAACAAATAGTAAGATAGGTCATGAATCAGCCATGAGAACGGAAGGAGCCTTAAAACCAAGGGAAAATTAATCTTGAGACAGAGCTAACAACTCCACAGCTAAATTCTGTCAAGAAACACTGAACAGACAGACTGCTCACTCTACATGACAAGTTTGTGTAATGACTTGTATAATTAATACATGAAAAGATATTAAGCATTTGATGGAAATTAACCCAAATATCTTCCTGGGAAGATAGTCAAGGGTCCAAATCATGGTAACAGCGGTAAGACACAGGAGGAGCAGGGACAGAGAGAAGGAAGAAAGGGAGGGAGAGAATTTCAAGGAGTTGAACTGGTGGATGAAAGAGAAAACACCTAATCAAAAAAGTTCACTTTGCAGTCAAGAAGTTTCCATGACAGAAAATTAGCTTATCTGCCTATCTGTCATGGACACCATGCTGAAGCATGCATTTTAATTTTAGGCAACAGGCTGGAGGTCAGAGAGGGCCACTGCTCACTGACCAGACTCAGAAACTAAGTGAAGGATAACAGGGAGGTTTTCAAGGCTGGCACTGCCTACAAAAGAATATGAAGAATTAATTTTTCTTTAGAGATTCAAGTAAAGAAATACATTTTCCTTATAGATTCAAAAGTCTGAATTTTTTAGGAAGGAATCTTCTACATAATGGACATAATATGGTTAACAACAGGGTTAGGTTCAGAGCTGCACGAGAAGTACTTGGTGTACTTGGTGGTCAGGTGAAATTACAAGATCAAAGTGAGTCCAGAAAGTCTGGAAACAAGTGCTTTAGGGTATGAACAGCATTCCTCATCAGCTCCATGACAGCCACAAGTCTGAATACATTACAGTGATGCCTCACATGGTCAGAGGTTTGGTTCATAGAATCATCACAGACTCACAGAATGGTTTGGGCTTTAAGATGTTTAAAGATTCTTTAGTTCCAACACACCTGTCTGGGGCAGGGACACCTTTCCACCAGACCAGGTTGCTCAAAACCCATCCAGTCTGGGCTTCGACACCTCCAGTGATGGGGCATCCACAGCTTTTCTGGGCAATCTGTTTCAGAGTTTCAGCACCTTCATAGTAATGGGTTTCCTCCTAGCACATTTTTCAGTTTAAACCTATTACCCCTTGTCCTATCACCCAATGCCCTTGTAAAATTCTCTCTCCCCAGCTCTCTTGCAGCTCCTTTAGGTACTGGAAGGTGCTATAAGATCTCCCTGGAGCCTTCTCTTTTCCAGGCTGAACAAGTCCAGCTCCCTCAGCCTGTCTCCATAAGGAAAGTGCCCAGTCCTCCGCTCATCTTCATGGCCTCCTCTGGACCGGCTCCAATAGATCCACATCTTTTTACTGCCCCTTTGTTGGGGGCCCCAGCACCAGTTCAGTCCTTTGGTGTGGCACAAGAGACTGTTGTGGTTTATGACATTTGTACTGATGAGGCCTTCCTAATACTTCAAGAGGTGCTACACAAGGATCAGGTTTTCCAATTCTTCTCTCACTCTAACCTGAACAGCTGCTAAGAGGTAGATAAGGGAGACATTATAAAACACAGACATAATTAGTTTGGGCACATTCCAGAATCAAATTAACTTTGATCTGTACTTTACACTAAAAATAGAGGTACAAACAATTTAGATGTACTTATTACACAAAAATAATGACAACATGAGCAGTATTTGTCAAAAAGTCTACAAGCACTTCAGAAGAGTCATAAGCATACAGGTGACTTGCTGGGACTCCACAATAAACTCTTAATCATTTATTAAGTATCCATTAATCATTAAGTCCTCATTAATTTTTTATGAGTGTAGTCTTTAACAAAATGTATGCCTAGGCTGTGAGTTTGAAAATTTCTTAATTGTTTTTGAGAAGCTCTAGAGTAAGGCTGGGTGGCAGCTCCTATTACTCCTTCTCTGAGAAACCATGAGAGCCCAAAACACTGCTCTCAGCCTTCAGAAATCCAGTTCCTCAGCTCAGAAACACGTTGCTGTGTAGCAATGAACAGGGTTTAGCGATTTTTAATTTGGGATTTAGCTGAAGGGAAACAAAAAATCCAATTAATGTTTTTCGCATGTGAGTCTGATTTTGTGAATGCTGAAGGATCACTGGGATGGTGGTTAAAGTACTTTTGACTGAATTACATTTTGTCTAAATACTACGCTCCATCGAAGCCAAAATATTTCTGCGATTTATCAGATTAAATGAGATTTCACATGCTGTACTATTCAGACAGTCACTCATTTACATCTCACCATGGAGAGAGGACAGTAAAAAAGCCTTGATGTGTGGAGACTGGAAAGAAGGGGATTTTGCTTGGAAAAAATATTTGAAAGGATTCATATTGGTTCCAGTATAGTATTAAAAATAAATGTGAAGCCCTCAAAATCTGTTGTCAAATGCAATTATCCTACAGAGAACCTAGCCTGGGAAGTTGATGATTTGGAGAGTGAGGTGAGACAAAAGAGAAAGATTTAGCCTTTTCCTTTATCTAGGCACTGCTGCACATGCAATAAAGACAAATTGGATTATTAGAGTTACCTAACAAGAATGAAACTTTCATACTACTGGGCCACTCACAGCAGATATTTAAGCAGCTATTTTGAGTATCAAAATTTTGGAAAGCTAGGGCTGTTAAAAACTGTATCCAAGTGCAGAATTTCTTAGAGCAGGGACCAATATTTTAATTTCTTAGAGCAGCGACCAATATTTTAAAAATATATTAGCTCTAGTAACAGTGCTAACAGTTTTAAAACTCAACATACCTTTATAAATTAGAAATTAGCAGAAGACAGAAGAAGGATCATATTCCTACACCTCTGTCATGGAACATCAGGTAGATGCAGAGTCTCCTTATGGCCCCCTCAACAGAGTATGCCTGGGTCATTTTAATTATATATGTGCTGCTGATAAGCTTACTCTTTATGTGTTTATTAAAGATGATTAAACATAAAACTGTATTAATATGTTTGTATCTTTTAGGACAAGTCATGACTGATTAATTTAAATGATATAATTAAAGTTACATAAAATAAATCCCTCTGGTTATCCTACTCCATTTTTATAATAACATGCAGAAAATCATTTATATTCACAGCATTTCACAGAGGGTATTTCCTCTTACTTTTTCAATCATTTCTTCTCACAGTTGGGGAGCCCAATTCAAAATTCTGCTAGCTTACAATGGCTAAATACAGGAGACACTTCTACAGTTGAGTTAGTAAGACACGAGGAAAAGAGCCCAGTTTTTTTTTTTTACAGAGCCTGCTTTGCCAGTCCATACAGCAACTGTATATCTAAGTTCAAATAATAAAAAAGACAGACCTTTGTGCTAATTAATGCTTACAATACACCTAAACTCAGCACCAGCAGGAAGCAGACTCAAGTTTTACTAAACCAGATTTCCTGTCTTGTTTCCACTATCACCACTGGGCTGGTTCTGTCTAGCCCACACAAGGCTAATCTAGAGCTAATGATTTTGGATCACCAAACACCACTGAATTTAGGATGATACCAAAGCAGGCTACATCACCACACTGGAGGCTCCAGTTGTCAATACCTGTCAAGTTTTTAACTCAAAGTAAATCTGCAGTAAGGTGTCTTGCTTCAAGGTTAACCAGATGGATTTATTATAGTATTCTTTCTTCTTTCCTTTCTTTGTGAACAGTGAGCCTTGCAAGCAATACAAGCATAACTACAGTAGTAAAACTGTTCAATTTGCCTGGAAAGCTAAAGTTGCAATATATTGTCTGTACTAGCACTAAAATGAACCTGGGGACAATCTCCCCTTAGCAAAAAGGATTGATTTGTGGCTATGACTTTTGACTCACAATGTTTTTGGAAATCATCAAGTGTTTCCATTTCTTAGCTGTTTAGATAAACAACAGATTAAACATTTTCATCCTCTCTAGGCACCTTTGACATTATTGAAAATATTTTATATACAGCTCTGTACATTTGACAGGACATGGAGCAATTCCAATCTCTGTCCCCCTGCCCCCCAAATAATTTGTTGTTTATTTTTCCCATCCTGTCTAAACATAGCAGGGAGGGGAAGAGCTAATGAATACAGAAACTTCTCATGACAAAACTAAAAATGTCTGATCATCCAACAAACCAAATTACAAACTCAGAGGACCCAGCTATTTTCACAGTATCAGAAGCTTTTGCACAGGGCTTTGCATGCTTCAAGTGCTGCTGTACAGCAATGAGCTAAACACACTGCCTGGCTCTTAACGGGTGGAACTGGGTGCAGAGATAAGTGCTGCCTCAGTTGTGCTGGAAAGTGGTCATTATGCCTGAAAAGCTGCCCAAAATTATGCATGAGTGGGAACAGGAAATGGTAAATGTAAGAAGGCACAGTGCATCACAGTCCTATCATCCCGATCCTTTGCCATATCTATGCTTGAGAGGGAGGTGTATGAAACTGCTTCAAAAAATGCTCAAACAGACAGAAAAAACAAGGGCAAACTACTTCAGTTGCTACTTCTCCAAGCTTCAGAGATTCACTCAAATCAAGCAAGCCTCATACTGCCTGTAGTAATAAAGTTATGAAGACATTATTATAAACTCTATGTAACCAAGAAAACATTTATGTCAATTTTCACTCCTTACTTCCAAATTAAGCAAAATTATGAAAGCTGTAATAAGTTAAACCAAGTTTAGAAATAAAACACAGCCCTGTGATGAACACATCATCCATTGTATTTAATCAGTGATTTTGCATGAGGTTGTGGTGTTACAAGTAGATCACACTTGGGAAAAGAAGAATGAAATTGATGTACTTACACAGTATCATATATAAATACTGCAATTTATTTCTCTTATTAGCTCAACACCCTATCACCAGAGTCTCTTTCACCAGGTTATCTCAACTACATCCTCTGAAACTGCAAAATCAAAGCCTGAATCTTGATTTAAATAATGTATTTACGAACATTTTTAACTACTTAACAACAGTTTTAGAAAAGGGAAATGAAGATGTTTACCTATTTGTTCTAAGAAGATGAATTAACCAAACACATGCTCAGAGGTATACCCACATAAATGAGTCTGCACACCAAGGTAGCACCAATTTTTGAAGAACCAGCAGTTGATAACATGTGCACATGATACAGAATTCTTCAACATGTGGGCAGGGAAAATTATATCATAGTGGAAAGTGCAACTTCTTGCAAAATTTAAAGAAAACCCTGTTTTTTCATCAAAATGTTGGTGTTAGTTGCTAATAAAGGATTTCAACATAGTAATTATTACCTGATTCACATACTATGGAGCCTGGCTTCAGTTCCAACATCATGGTGATTATGGAGATGTCAGTGGAATACAGAATTTGCGTCCTGTGTGGGAGATTCATGGTCCACAGTTCTGGAGTTGGATGAAGAATGAACACCCATCCTCCTTTACTGCAGGTCACTTTGGAGCCATACTTCTTGCCTATGAGGTCTGTGGAATGCCTGATGACCCCATACTTAGTCTGTGTTACAGAGCCATGCTGCACTTTCACAGGAAACATGGACTCGTGGCCCAGGAACACAATAGCCGTGTCACCATCCTTTATCGTATCTCCATATTCAACAAAACTCATCGTGACAATCTTGTACTTGGCTGGTGATTGCCACCTAGAGAAAAATAAATATGTCAGGAAAGTTTCACAGGACCACGGTGGAGCTGAACCTACAGATACAAACCCAAGTAATTTTATTTTCTCCAATACAGAACAAAACCACACTGTGCAAATAAGATGCCAGCAAGAGAGCTCCAGGAAGTTCAGGGAGCTGCTCTCCACTGTACTCTTGATCCAATTGCAATCAATGGAAGGATCCCACAGATTTGAAAATAACAAGAATTTTTCCTTATGGTACATTTTAAAGAAAACTTGGGAAATACATTATAATTTACTCAGCCTGCTCCAAAATGCTACTGCAGGTTAGTACCGATTTCCACACACTGTTCAATTACAGTTCCTGAGCACTCAGAGCATGTTATTAACTTTTATTCTCATCTTTTTGCTTATTTTTTGATGATTTACAACATAAAGACATTCTACTACTTGCCTGGACCTCAATCACCAGCTATTAGGACCACTAACAAAACTATACTTGAAAGTTTTCCAAATGAACATTTACAGATAGGCTAAGGGCATAAACTTGACTAACTACAAAAAAAAATAATATTGTGGCCTTTAATTTGCCATTGGGGGTGCAAAGTAATTGTCGGGGAAGTGATCTCTACTCCAGCTAAATGTAAACAACCACTTGCAAGCTAATGCCAACAGTTGAATCACTTCAGCCCCATGGTCTCAGAGCTGTTTTAGAGAATTACAATTAAATTTTGATGGCTTTGAGAAGACAATCTAGAAATCAGAAGGCGGCTTACAGTGAAACCTGACACTGCCTTTCAAATAAAGCAGCTAACTGTCTAAGCTGCAGGTTGATCAGTTCATGCAAGAATTGTTTAATGAAGTAACAGAGATCCCAAAGTTAGAAATTAAAGCCTATGACAGAAGGCTTTGGAAGTCAGATTTCTGGTACACCATCCCTGGCAGAATCAAAAGCAGTGTTACTTTTAGTTTCAGAATAATTACTGAATTCCAGCACTTTTGTGTTGAATGTTTAAGAGCTTGGTCCTTCTTCATCATTTCAATTAAAAACCTTCAGTTCTCAAAGTGTAGTCTGGTGTCTGTAGTCTGGTTCCTGCCTGGAACTCCATGTAGCTCAATTTGCTGTTTAAGCAGTTAGATTTATAATTTTTCCACTGCAGCCACTGAGGTTGATAAACAGATGTGCTTGTAGCTGAAACTTCCAAAGCTTATGACATGCTTTATTGCATAAGGTGTTCAGATGCCAAGGCAGAAAAGGCTAGTCTGAACATCTTGTGAAATAGTAAGGGCATCCCGTGAATTCAGAAATGTATACATAAAGGACTTTGTGAGATAGAACAAATGCTGTCTTTTATAGCTTGCACCCTATGATTATGTCCATGTCTTAATCTTTCATAAATTACACTTTAGAGTTCTCATTCCAGATACTTTTAATGCAGTGCAGTTTTCAGCTCTCACAAGTGTCATCTGAAAGGACCTCGAATGGAATCAGTTCCTTTCACAGTAGTTACTGCAGTTACATCCATGTGCAAAAGAATCCTGTAGCAAGCCTGCAGGAACACTGAGTGAATTCCTCTCCCTTTGATTCCACCAACTGGCTCCCAGCTTCCTTGCCTTCCTTTGAGCCACTACACTTACCACAGCTAATAGTCACAGCAGAGAATCAGAATCAAGGCTGCAAGGGATCTTTAAGATCATGTACAGCAAGTCCATCCATATCAGTGCATGCTGACATCCCAAGTGACACATCTCTTAGGCTCAGACTTCACCTGCCACATTATGTTCATACGTTTGGGGTAAAATTGGCATATGTAAGGAATTTTGGAAGTTTCTTTGCCTCGCCCCCTTGTCAGGGAGCACAGTGAGCTACCACCACGTCCAGAATTCCCCATTGCCTGGCAGTGCAGAGGCTCCCGCACTGTTACATCTTCCCCAGGCAGCAGGCAGGGCATTGCTGCAGCACGGCTGTCACTGCACGGTGGGGGGAATGGCGGTGGGGGGAAACTGAGCCGGGCCCCCCTGACACGGGGTCAGGATTTTCTCTGGGTCTGCCATGGCTGCAGCGACCTAAACCCAACGCCTCAGGCGATCCCTCGCAGCCTCACGAACAAAACCACTAACACCATTCTGCGCTCCCTTCAATCATAACCCAGGCGCACACCTCTGTTCCCTGACCAGCTCCTGAAGCCTGGCTGCTTGGCGCGGTGGCAGGGGAACGTCCCGCAGGCGAGGCAGGCACAGCCCCCTCCCCGCCCAGGCACACGCAGGCTGGGGGTCGCTCCGTGCCCCGCTCAGAGGTGACCCCGCTGCCAGGGCTCCCCTCAGCCCCCTTCCGTATCCCGAGGCGGTAATGCGGCTCCTGCACTCCAGCAGCGCATCGGCCCGTGCCAGCGCACCCGGGAACCACAACTGCGGCAGGTGAGAAGCACGGACTGGACCGTGAAGGGGTGAGAGGCGGCATTCGCCTGCGGGAGAGCAGCGTTAGCCCGTAACAGCCCCGGGCGGCCGCTCCGCGGGGGAAGAACGCCCTCGCCCCGGCGTCCCGCATCCCCGCGGGGACGCTTCTCCCCGTGCCCCGAGCCCTTTACCTCCCCAAGCCCGGCCCGGCTCTCCTCACACGCGGAGCCGCCCAGCGCCTCCTTCCGCCTCGGTCGCAGGCTGCTGACGCTCCCGCCGCCTCCGCCCCCGCCAGCCCTGCCTGCAGCCGGGGAGCTGCCGCGGCTTGTGCCCGGCGCGACCAGACCTGGCTCCTGCAGCTCTCCTGAGGTACCCGTTTCGCTCAGCCCGCCATGCCCACAGCTCCGTCAAGGCGCCCGTTCCTCTGAGCCCGTCATGCCCCCAGTCCCATCGAAGCATCCATCCCCCCTGAGCACACCCGTCCCCTCAGCCCCTTCGAGGCGCCTGTTCCCCGCAGAGCTCCGCTGACCGCCCCCGCCCCGTCCTCTCAGCGCTCCTTGCTGGGTCCTGAGGAGCGGGGGCGGTCACTGACCACCCTCAGCAGCCCCCCAGGCACCCCGGCGGTGCTCCTGCCTCGGGCAGCAGCCCTGTCAGTGAAACTTGAAGCGTCCCAGTGGGTCACTGGGAAAAGCTGCAATGGATGCTGATAGCCCCGGTGGGAACTTGGCGTTCATCACCCTTTGAACGTGTAGGGTGTCTCGAGGGCCACCGCCAGCAGGGCTGAAACCCCTTCCCCAGGGAATGACTTTGCCATTGGCAGACCTGGGCCTTGCCTCCATGGCCCCCGGGCACACAGCTTCCAGAAAGTTCTGCATGCCCTTCCCCCGGGGCAGCCTCAGGGAAAGGCCAACCAAGCTCTTCACAGGGATTTCATAAGGCTGCAGGAGAAACCACACTGTGGACTCAGAAGCACTAGAATTGTTATCTAACCCCCTAACAGCATGGTACTAACTCCTACTTCTGTCTCATGTTTAGGATTGAAGTGATGTGGAGAGCCCTGCCTGCCCTGGTGGTACGGGGGCTGGAGTCAGGAGGCAAGGTGGAGCAAAGGAGGAGAATATTGCCTCATCTTCTGCTCACAACAAGCCCAGGCCACTTGGCATGGGAGCAGTATGGGCATAGCAGGGAGCATGTGAATCACCTTGGACGTGCAGGTTGTGTTCCCAGCTAAATCAGATAACCCTCTGTACTGTGCTGCATTCACCAATAACCTGTAATACACAGGAATGGAGAAAAAGTCATCGTTTCACAATCACAAACCCAGTAACAGAGAGCTGTTTAGATGATGATCTGTGATTTTTTAAATTAATGTGGTTCCACCAAGAATGAGGGATTTTTTCCCACTACCTTCAGTGAGAACATATTTTTTGTTATGGTGTTGACCTGCCCATAACATAATTGCAGTAGTCTTTGTTAGTTATGAAACTCTTCTCCATCTAATCTAAACATAATGTATGCAGTTTCAGAGGTTTCTTAAGCTGCAAACTCCTACTCAGCTGTTTTTCTGACTGGCAATCATAGCTCTACTGTGCTTTTATATTTGCACCCACTTTGTTTAATTTTCTGTCATTTTTAGTGTCATTGGTTATATTTGTCATTGTTTATGTTCTCATGTCCTTTCTTTCCCATGATGGGCTGCTGTTCAGATCACTGTGGGCCTGACTGTGTGCAAGATTGAGACACTCAGCAACTCCTCATTTCCATAGGTACTCAGCTCACTGGAAACAATCAGTAATTTTCAACAGCCTGCCTAAACAGTGAGAAAAAATGCACCAAGGATAATAACTAAGCAAATACATTTTAAGTGATAAATGGGAAGAGAAGTTTCATTTGACAAGTTAAGCAGATGGAGCTATGGCCAATTTCTTTAATCTACTGGTACATGAGTGTTATGTGTAATTTTCAAGTAGTGTTTAGTTGTAGATTAGGAATTGGAAACAATTCAGCTGTTCACAGCAAACCACTTTCTCTTGCTGTTTCCTAATTTGGAATATTATTCTGTGTTTCCAAGATGGTATTTATCCCCTTATTCTTCAGGTTTCTATTATGTTCATGCAAGTAATTTCAGAAGACACATTCACTAGCTAACACCCATCTCCTCTTGCACTTGCACACCACACAACATTTATAATTAAGCCTCTTAGGAAGTTAGCTGCATGGCCCTTGATTAACTTCCCTTAATTCTTCATTGTTAAAGCTCAGTGCAAAGACCTCTGGGGTAATCAGGCCACCTTTCCAACTGGAAATGTAGCATATAAATCAGTATTCACTAAGATACCATCCCAGCATGGAAAGTGAGTATTGGTGCCTTTATCACAGTCTAACAGGCCATACAGGCTTATCCAAAGCCAGTGTTTCCCAGCAGATGAGGCAGATAAAGCGGGTGATCAGAGGCTGTTGACACAGGGCACAGCATCTGTAATTAAGTCACTAGGGAAGCTGGCATGGAATGCTGTGACAAAGATAGGATCCAATTTACACACAGCTTTCAGCAAATCTTAAAATGCTGTCTGAGTAAAACCCAGACACTCCTGACTTACTGCATGCTAGAAATTTGTCAAATAGTGTTGAGAAGAGGGGGGTAGAGGGTGCATTGTTTGTCAGACACCTAAATTGGATATATTTTAGTGATTTTATGTTCCTGACTCTCTTTCCATGTCACCCAAATTCTGTGAAGAAGAGGTGTGTGTTTGTGTTGGAAGTGCTGTAATGTTTGGCACATGGAGACTTCTACCTGCTCACCATGACTGGTATTCCCTGTTCTGCAAGACAAAAAGAAAAAGAGCATATGCGATGAAACAGATCCTTGGATTTTGAATCTTGAGAGGTGACCTTGACTCCACAGCTCTCCTGAACAATTACACTACAGAACAGTTGATTGTTTCTTTGTTTGTGTGGCAATAGATTATGGAATTAAGATAAAAGGAGCCTTCAGAACCTACCCTGATTGGCGCTTTTTTTTTTTTTTTTTTGTGGTGAACACCACCACAAAAATATGCCATAATGTAAGAAAGTTGTTTTAGTATATTTCTATTTCAAATTAAGAATAAAATGTTAGTGCTTTACATTAAAAATCTGCAATCAGAATTATGTTTGCAGCTGAGGCAATCCAGTAATATTTCATTTCTATTGTAATTTACTGAGGACTCTAGGTACAATTTTACACTTGTAATCATTTAATACTTGTATAGCCATGCATTATTTGCAATTCACATTATTCTGAAGCATGAGCACTGTGTGAAACTATTAGTGTGTAGGGGAAGACTTTGTGAGGTTAAAAGTGCAGAGAAGACCAAGAGAGAGGATTTGTTCTTTGATCCGGAAGCCAAGAGACCGGACTTGCACAGATGCTGAGCCCTTGGCTTCTCCTGGAGATCTGTATACTCAGCATCTCAGTCTACCAGACCTGGAATAACTCAGAAATCTGGATGGCAGCCAAACACAGCACATTTTTATTTGAAGCAGTCTAAGTTTTTTATTTTGCAATGATTTCCTCTATAGGTATATTATGATTTTTAAGTCCTAAGCAGTCCTGTAAAGTGCACATGCTGCTTGTGGTTAGGGTGAGGGTACTGGTCATGGTGCTGAAAGGATTGTGATGGGGAGAGATGTTCAGGTGATGTCTCCTGACATTCACAGCTCATGTCAAGGAAAGCAACTCTGGAACTCAGATCCGCCCTCTCATGTATAAGTACACTCTGGACAGGAGGATAAACATGGATTCTGCTGTGAGAAACATGTCAGAGAAAGATAAAGATACTATTATGTAAAGGTGAAAGTCAAATCAAGATACTCATTCACATTGTTAACATCCTGTGAATTCTGCAAAACAGCAGGATTCTCAGCTGCATCTTAGCTCTGGGACAAACCTGCTCATTCCTACAAAAAAATCAGTGCAAGTCTCTATTTTCATGAATTTCAGGTGAGCTTTAGATGGGTCAGATCCCAGAGTTCCTGTGCCCGTCTTTAGTAGGAAATCACCCCCTCTCCAATAAAAGCTGAAGAATTTTTTTTGGCACACAAGAGCAGAGGATTCACTGCGATTTTCACAATCACCTTACTTCCCTTTCAAATTGAACTGTAAAACGAGCCCACGGTTTCGCAGGTGCTGGAGGCGAGGTGCAGGTCCTCCCTCTGCAGAACCGGGCTGCCGGGGGCTGGGCGCCACATCCGCAGCCGCCTCAGGGCTTCTGCCAGCTCGGGGCACTTGCCACTCGCCAGGCTCGCAGCACGGCCAGCCCGCACACTACACAGCCCTTATTTTGGGATGGCGTATTATGAGACCTGCGTTTGAACCCTCCACCAAGGTGTTGGCAAAGGTGTGAAGCCTGTAACCAGCCGCGTTGGCGTGCGGTGGCGCGCCCTGGCCGGTGGCACACCGGACGGATCGCTGCCCTCACGCTCGCGGTAACGCACTGCGCCGGGCCCGGAGCGCCCGGGGGATGCCGCCACCCCCGGCCCAGCTCCCCGACGCCGAGCAAAATGGCGGCGAGCGCGGGCCCGGCCGGCCGCGCAACGCCCGCCCCGCCCGCCGCTGCGCGGCCCAATGGAATGAATGGGCTATAAATAACGGCCAATGGGGCGCGAGCTTGGGCTCTATATAAAAGATGCGCGGCGGGGCCGTTGGAGCTTCACTCGGGCTCGGGCAGTGCGTTACGCGGAGCAGCGCGGAGGTTCTTGCTGTAGCTGCGAAGCCCGCGGTAAGTCCCGGGGCAGCCGAGACGTTCTGCAGCCTTGAAACAAAGGATTTAAATTTTTTCCTCTTTTTTTTTTTCTTTTTTTTTTTTTTTTTTCTCCTTCTTTGCTTTTTTTCCCTCTCCCGCTGTGTGGGGTGGAGCCGGTCCGGCTGAGGAGGGGCGGCGCGGGGCAGGGGCGCAGCCGGAGCGGGGGGGCGTGGGGAGCGGCGCAGGTGCTCGCCGGGCTGGTTGGGCTCTAAAACCAGATTAACCCGGTATTTAGCAGGGTAGTTACATACGCTCGCCCCGTCCAGGTCCCCTGAGGGACCTGTCTGTTGTGTAAGGGCTTGTCGGATGCTGCCCTCCCCTCCCCGGTCGGGGAGCAGCCGGGTGTCCGCGGACGGCGCCGTCGCTCCTCCGGCTCCCCTCGCCCTGCAGCGGAGGAGGAGGCGCGGCCGCGCACCGAGGGTGCGGCGGTGCCGCCCAGCTCACCTGCCGGCCGGCCCGGGGTCCCGGCGGGGCCGAGCACCCCCGGCTCGCGGCCGCTGCCCTGCACCGGAGCCGCCCGGCGCTGCAGCGGCTGCTCCGCGCGACCTTGGGCGCGTCCCCTCACCCGGGCGGCGCTCCGGGAGGCGGGGGGACCTCTGCCCCTGCGGCCGGGCTGGTGGGCACGGGGCAAGGCTAGTGGAGGCGAAGAACTTATTTTCTTTCCTCTTCCTTGGCGCTTGTGGAAGGCGATGTAGCAGCAAAGGTGTGAAAGGCGCGGGTGGAACGTGAGCCAAGGTGACCTTTTGGGTGCCTGGCGTTCCCCCGGGCGGTCCGGAGGCTGCCAAACGCCCAGTGATAGGCTTCCCGTCTTTCTCCCCTAGTGACTGCGGTAGGGTCAGCCATGCCCTTCTCAAACAGCCACAACCTCCTGAAGATGAAGTACAAGCCAGAGGAGGAGTACCCTGACCTGAAAGCTCACAACAATCACATGGCTAAGGTGCTGACCCCGGACCTGTACAAGAAATTGAGGGATAAACAGACTCCCAGTGGATTTACCCTGGATGATTGCATCCAGACTGGGGTTGACAACCCAGGTAATGGGATCGTTAGGTCTGCATAATGATCTGTTCTCCCTCCTGAGTGGAAGTGCTTCTTGACAATGCTACCCAAAGTTCTCAAGCTACCGAGGGACGAATCTAAAGCACTGAGAGACTGCTGTAAAGGCATGGCTCTGTTGGGAGGCCATGTTTCCATCAAGCTGTGTTTCATGCTGTGATCTGACATACCAAGTCCCAGACACTTCAATTATGTAACTGCTCTGCTAAATACTTTCAATCTGAAGAGGGAAAAAAAAGTCAAACCAAATGCATTCTAATTATAACTCATCTGGCGAGGGGGAAAAAAAAAAAAAGTCAGTTTACCTGGCTGTCTTGATCTCTTCCTATTCCAGACTGGTTATATGATGTATTGTAGCACTTCTATGAAAAAGGGGGAGCAGATGTGTTTACATGTTAACATTACAGTATTTATTTTTACTCTAGCAATATCAAAATGGCCCAACTAAATAATCAGAGACTGCCTCCTGATGAGGAGTATCCGGACCTGAGCACCCACAACAACCACATGGCCAAAGTTCTAACCCTGGATTTATACAAGAAACTGAGAGACAGAGTCACGCCCAGTGGCTTCACCCTGGATGATGTCATTCAGACTGGGGTTGATAATCCTGGTAAAATGCATTGAGAATATTCTGTGTGAACCAGCTGAAGTAACTGGTGCTTTTGAATATGCTGACTTAAAGCTAATCTTGTGGAGGTGGTATTTATAAACAGACTACAGAAATGTAGCAGAAGGAGCGAAAAGCGGAGCATGCTTGCTTGCAGCAAAGCATGATTGTTTAGACATAAAATTCTATGCAGTGATCTAAATTAGCTAGTCAAATTAGATGTGCTGTGCAAATTTGTCCTAAACCAAGCTTGACAAATGAGCATGGTTTAATGACAATAGCTATGGGTTTCCATAGCATTGCATTTGACTAACTGGATGAAATGTAAAATGTAGGGTCTCTCCAAATGTTTCTATGTAAGAATGAAGTTCTAAGTGACTAAACTTGCCACTAAAGAACTTGCCTGGTTAGTGCTGCACTGGAGTACAGCCAAATGTCACCCAAACTTAGCTCTTCTGACTTTGTTACCACTCCAGGCCATCCTTTCATAATGACAGTAGGATGTGTGGCTGGTGATGAAGAATCCTATGAAGTGTTCAAGGAGCTCTTTGATCCAGTTATTGAAGACAGGCATGGTGGCTACAAACCAAGTGATCAGCACAAGACTGACCTGAATGCTGATAACCTGCAGGTATAAAGTTTTGATCAATTACAGATTATTAGTCTGAGGACTGTAAAGTTGTTGGCAGCTGCCTAAACTGATTGCTCAGGCTCTGTCCCCTTGCTTCCACTGAGCATGGACACTTGGGCTGTGAATCTGGTGCAATCAGCCTGAAGAGCTTGTTGCTGTGGGATGTCAGTGGCTGGGCAGCTTGCATGCAGCAGGAGCTTTTTACAGGTGCTGCTGCAGTGTGGGTTGTGCCAAGCACATTCAGTGTGTATTTCCTGAGTTGTGGGCTCTAGCAGTCAACCTAAACAACACTGTCGTGGAATTCACGGACTGTCATAAAACTTAAGCTTTCTTTTGTCTGATCTTTGATCTTAATTAGCAGCTGATGGTGTTGTGCTGTCAAAGAAATATTATTACAGCTGGGAGTAAGGATTCTTAATAATTTTATGGATTTTAAATGCTACTGTAAACTCTGGGAGTTCCTAACTCCATGATTTGCTAGCCATAAATCATACTGAAAATAAGAGACTTGGGAGAACAGTAATGAATAATTCTCATTTGCAAGAGTAAACACGTACTTAAAGAAGGTTTTGCCTCATGTTGATATCACTAGGTTGCAAATCTGTAAGGGGTAACAGAAGCCCAGACCACAGTCTGAACTGGACTTGGAACTGATGCTCTGGTGATATCCCTGCCTTCTAGGACTACTTAGTAGCTATAGCCTTGACCTCAGAGCAAGAGTTGTGTTACACAGATGCTTGATGTGATGCTGAAGAAAGTAGCCCTGAAGTGAGGCACTGGCTTACAGGCCGTAGAGTCAATGCCTCACGTGTAAAGTGCACTCTTAAGTGCATGGGGGCTACATGTGTTATGGGGAGGTATCTTGGTAACAGAGTTGTGCATGCTGGTTTCCTAATCTTGTAGGGAGGTGATGATCTGGA